CGCAATCAACATAAACCATAATCTTTACTTTCATTAAATGTGTGCAATATATGGACACTGCTCAGATTTGAAGGATATTTTTATAACGAATCCTTACATTTTCATACTGACATCAAAAGTGTAAGGTTAAGATTGAAATTATTATGATTAGCTTTAAACACATTAAAAACACAGGCATTTTGTGGTGTTATCTTACGAGACCCGTTTTGATTTCTTGGAAGAGTAAAATTATTCGTAAGGTTGAGTTCGTCAGTTCGCATCAGACTCAGCCTAAATCCAAGCAAATGTGCTTGTGACCAGCACAATAGTCTTACACGACTGCTATAATTCTTAGTCAATAGTTTCGGCATTGCTTCAACTCAACTCAAACCTTTGGTGGTATTTAGTTAATACGCAACCGAATTGTTGTGTTTTGTTTTAATGCGGATTAATTGGAAAATCCGATAGAGCAACAGAGTGACTGGAAATGTACACTGCAAGCAAATTTAAGCAAAAACCTTAAGCAATTTTAAAATATGAAACAAACAAGAAAGCTACAACTTGCTTCAAACACTTCTTCTTACCAGTTTCACGTTGATTGAGGGCATGTCAATGACAAATATATTAATTTGGGGAAAAAGGAATCCATTATTTTTATATGAACTTCAGGACTTTATTTAACATACTTCGGATTGTCCGATTTGGGTCAAATATGCACCGTTTTGTTGTATGATTTGTTGCCATTTTAAAGGTAATTTCAAAATGCCTCTCTCATAGAAGTCCTGGTCTCTATTTGCAAAAAACTCTAGTAGTCAATTTTCACAATCCTCCCTAGATTTCAATTTTTTATCATTAAAGAAATTTTGCAATGCAAGAAAAAGATGATAATCGCTTGGTGCCAAGTCCGGACTGTATGGCCGATGCATTAAAACTTCCCAACCAAGCTCCCGAAGTTTCTGGCGAGTCACTGTAGATGTGTGTGGCCTAGCGTTGTCCTGGTGAAACATAACACCTCGCCTGTTGCCCAATTCTGGCCGTTTCTGGTCAATCGCTATCTTCAAACGGTCCAGTTGTTGACAGTAGAGATCAGAATTTAGCGTTTGGCCATATGGAAGCAACTCATAATAAATAATCCCCTTCCAGTCCCACCAAATGCATATTAAAACCTTCCTGGCCGTTAGTCCTGGTTTGACCACCGTTTGAGGTGCTTCACCGCTATTTGACCACGATCGTTCTCGCACAGGGTTATCGTATGTGATCCATTTCTCATCTCCAGTCACCATCCGTTTAAGAAATGGGTCTATCTCATTCCGTTTGGCCAAGGCTTAGCAGATGGAAATTCGATCCATCATGTTTTTTTCTGTTAATTGGTGTGGCACCCAAACATCGAGCTTCTTTTTGAATCCAGCTTTGTGTAAATGGTTTAAAACTGTTTTAAGGTCGATTTTTAGCTCCTGGGCGATGTTGCGACTACTAACATGCCGGTCAACTTCGATCATTTCTCCGATTTTATCGACATTTTCGACAACCGGCCTACCTGTGCGAGGTGCATCTTTAACATCAAAAATTCCTGAACGGAATCTACGAAACCAAAATTGCACATAATTGGTTGTTACAATATCGGAACCATAAACACCATTCACAATTTTAGCCGCCTGGCATGCATTTTCGCCTTTGTCAAAGAAAAACTGTAAAATGTACCGAATTTTCTCTTTGTTCACTTCCATTTTTAAAACGCTGTAACTCACAACTGAATGCACCAAACAAAAAACAGCAAAAGAATTTTTTTTACTGCGAAATGTCATCTTTCCAACGAGCATAAATCTGAAATTGTTTGATCGATACTTTACGAGAAATCTATCAGTGCAGCCATCTACCGAAAAAATAATGGATTTCTTTTTCCCAAAACTATTATTTAAAATAGTAGTAACGGCAAGGATGTGCTTCAATCAACCTTGCGACAAAAGTTTAGAATGATTTTCCTCGACCTTTTGGGTTGCTTCAGTTTCCTATGGCTTTGTTTTTTGAAAGATCTGGTTTAGAATTATATCTATGGTTTAGAATTATATCTAAATTAAGAGTATAAGAAATAAATTTTGACTTTAAAGAGCCCAGCAACAGGAAAAGAAATTTCACTTTATTAGCACTTTGATATTACAAACAGATTGCCTTACATATGGTCCACAAATGTTTTTTGTAAACTTCTTTAAAAAAGCAAAAAAAAAAAAAAAAAAGAAATGCATTCAAGCAAGTGGAGTCATACTATGAATATTAAACACTGCTTTGTTTTCAAAAAGATATAGATAGGTTCACGTAAATATACTTTACGAATCAAAATATTCATATGCCAATGAAATAATTCGAAAACCAGCTATGAATTTTAAAGAAATCTGAACCCTTTTTTATGTTACAAATTACTAAAAACGCGGACTTTTAAATGTTCAAAGCAAAAGCAATCAGTTCCAAGGGTAAGGTCTCCGTAACACAGCAATAGTATGACTATAGAATTATTGGCTGATAAGGTCTATTGGCTGATAAGGTCACTACATAACATAACCTGATATCAAATCTATTGAGAAAAGGAATTATCTTTCAAAAAAAAAAATAGAAACTCCTCTTCGATACATCTCTTTGGCAAACCACAAAGAAATCCCAATGCCTAAACAGGAGAATCCTTCTTAGCTGCGGAGGCATTTCTGAGTTAAGCTTTCCAGGGTGAACTATTACTAACTGAAAGGATTGTTAGGAGCAACTGCAATCTTCTTGAACAGAATCACAGTTTCTCCCTTCCAGATAAAGGTGCCACCAAATCAATTTGAATTCTAACGCATAATAACTGAGAATATATATAATTGACATAATCGTGGAGACATATTTCTCCGTGCCAACTGCTTTTTTTCATCCAGCCTGGCTTTTGTTGATGCTATAAGAATGCTTAGAACAATAAATACAAAGAGAACCAGAAAAGCTCTTTATCTTATTGATGAAGAAGAAATTAATGATTTCCTGTGTGTTTTCACAATTATCGCAATTAATTATCCTTTAGCTTGTTGCGGTTCTGTCTCGATTCCAATCCCCGGAAATTCAATATTAATTATTGAGCATTGATTACACTGTGTTTAACTGTGCCAGCAACATCTCAGGTAATGTATAAAACAAGATGCACCAAACGCAACAGGCTTTTATGTCAAACCATTTTTCCAGTGGCTTGAGAGGAAAAGCGTTAGCAAAACGTAAGTAGAAAATTTCAAAGATCCCAAACATGTTGCAATGAAAAACATGGTTTGAGCAGAACATAATAACAGAGATTCACATTAGCACATATTCTTGGATGCACAAGGAAACAATAAACATGGGAGATGACCAGGAAGCCAAGAGAAAACGAAGTTTTTATTACGAAACAAAGACATGATGTAATTACAGCTTAAATCCAGACTATACGCAAATGGTGGAAATTGTGTCAAACTCCAGCTGGGAGTTAAAAAGATGGTATCTTTAGATAAATCATAATGAATTCAATGATTGGCAGTAATTATGATGGGCTAAAAGTTTGTATGATGTTGATGAGAAAAACAAAACCACTAACAGTGGGAATAAAATAATAATCGTGCTAAAAATGATAACAATGATGATGATGATGATGATGATGATGATGATGATGAGGAAATCTTAACCGTTAGCAATTGAGATTATATAACGTGGTGTAATTTTTTTTTTTTTTTTTTTTTTTTGCAATAAGTCATGTATCTAATGTAATTGTAATGTAATGGTTTTATGCAATACTCACATATATGAGGTATCTAAATCTCCTTTTGTATAGGTGTATAGGTATGTATTCATGTAATAGCGCAACAAACGACTGTCACACTTTATGCCAACAGAAATTAAATGTGTAAGACCATGACTATCTTTTTGTGAGGAAGTCTTAACAACTGTGGCAAGAAATCGTTTAACGTGAACCATTGCTAAGCCTAATAGGCAATAGTAGAACAATTGCACATACGCATCTCTATGCTATAGAAAGCTTCTTTGCTTCTTTGTTTTATACATACATATATATATTCATTGAAAATACTCCAGCAGTCACATACATCAACTGATTTGTAATTGCTTTTGACGTTGATGTGTGTAATTTAAGTTGAAGAAGAGTTAATTTAAATGTTGACAGCCCATCTGAAATCTAAGAAAAGCAAAGAGATAAAAGAACAGTCGGAAAAGGTGTTTAAGTTAAGTGCAAACAAACAGTTCTTACAGTAACTCTCAACTAAAAGTTAAGAATAATTTCAAATAATTGTAAACTTTTCATTATTAACTTGATTTAGATGCCAGAGAGGCGATATGAGTTACCATGCATGTGTAGTTAGGTTAAATCAGATTTTATGTACTCTCTTGAAAAGTGTTTCTTAGGGCTTTTTAACGTTTGAGTTCAGAGAAAGATTTATTTTTCTTATCTTATGAGTTATGCCCTAAGCAGAGAACAGCTATACTCACTTAAAAAAAGTAGAAAGAAAATGTAAACGTTTTGAAAAAGTGTTTAACACGCTTTCCATACTACTTCTAAGGTTAGACTTCTTTTTAAAAAATTTAAAGTTTATTCTGCCAATTTGTAGTTTTGCAATAACTTATGTCTTTCCCTTAGCCTTTCATTTAGCCATAGATTTATGGATTTTCGCAAGGTGTATGTCTAAAATCTTTTAAAGTTTTAAAGGTCAACAAGGGTTTGATGCATTGCGAAACGTTCAACGCTTGCTTAGAGCATTGGAGTATTAGAGCAGCTAAGTTGCACTTTTTATTGCGTGGTTAGAGTTTCTAGTTGCAGTGATGTCACACTCTCTTAAATAACAATTAACAACAATTAACAACATTTACAATATTAATGGAAATTTTATTCGATTACAAATATTCACACACACATTTTGATTATGTATTTTGAGAAATTGTCCAATGCCGCATAATTATCCTTTCACAACTTTTAGAATACTTCTTATCCGAAATAATTGTTTCAAAATATTCAACAAGGTTCAGGGCGAAAATCTTTTCAAACGTTCCAAATGTAATTCGTGCAGCAATCTATTGTTAGCATAATAATAGGGATTTTCCGCTTCATTCAAATCGGGATTGTAAGTGGCTTTTTCAACCGCATCGTTAGGGTGATCGGGTAATGGGGTTTCCATATGCTGCAACTGAGTTACCATAATATCCGTCGGCAGATATTGTTGCTGCGAATGATAGTTGTTGTTATTGCCTTGTGTAGCTTGATATAGATGATTATTATGCGGTAATTGTTGTTGAAATTTAAGATTTGTGACTTCGAAATTCGACAAACGCAGATTATTGATCCGTTTAGATAATGGCGCCGATTCACATAGTAAATCATCTTCGCGATTACGTTTCCCTTTGTTTGATTGAAAGTAAGTCATAAAAATTGAGGAAAAATTCTTTCTTGATTCTTATTGAAAAAACGTAATTATATGAATTTTATCAGAATTTTTTGACAATTAATACGTCAATCAATAATTCGCAGAACCGACGCATAGATGATATATGTTCAATAAACAAAATCAACTCTCAAGTGTCGTGTGTCAAAACTTCGTATTCACGCAATTGAAATATTGGAAAAAAAACCTTGAGCCGCTGAATTTTTTCTTCAACGTGATTGCATTGATGAATAAAGTCGAATAAAGTGCAAAACATAATTTATTTTTTTTCCGTACTTAGTTGCGGAAATTGAGTAAAATCTCGATTATTTACCTTCGTTTTCAGTCTTTTCTCAATCGCGCGCCACTGCTCAGACAAAATACACTTCTCTTATGAAATTTATATTTTCAGCAGACATCATGTATTTTTCATATATATTCCTGATCCATAAAATTGCATTAATATTTTGGTTTTTTTCTAATCGTTTTCAGATTTTGAGTTGAGATTTTGCACGCGCTGAGTCGACCTATAAATAGATAGATAAATGATCAAATAAAGGTTTATACCCTATACTCTATTCGTTTAACTTTTTATTAATTCGTAAGGCGTACTCCATTAGATTACAAGGTTTTTCTAGCACATACATTCAATTTTGCTTTGAAATTGTCCATAATCGTTTTGATTTATCAATCAATTACCTCCTTCAAGGCTTTCAACGAACTCTACTCGCTATGCCTGATCAATAGAATTCAATTCTTGTAAGCATGAAGATGCAGGTTTTTTATGCGAATATCCTGGAATATGGAATTGATGTCCCTGGATACTCACCAACACTCTAGGAAAATACTTTGATGTTTTATATTGAATGACAACCACATTGCTAATGACCATTAACTGGATTGATTTCCATAAATTTGCAGTTGACGAACTTAAAACACAGTCTCGTATGTCCTGTTGTGTTCAATACTGCAGCGAATGTAAGCTTGTAAAAGGAAAAAAATTTCTCGTTAAAGCTGTGGGGAATTAGGTACCCCTTTATATTTAGATAGGACAAGGTTTAGGTTAATTCTTGGGTAATAGCGTTTTTCTTTTTAAATGTCAGGTTTGACAATGGTATAACTACGACTAAGACAGGAACCATAATCTTTGTGGGAATACACCGTCAAATTGTTTTACAGAGTAGATGCGTCCCTTAAATATCCGTGCAAAAAAAATCCTAAATATTTTTCTAAAAAATCCTGCAAAAAAAGCAATAATGAAATCCGTATTAAATGTTTATAAAGCAAAAACCTTTCATTTTTATTGCAAAAAAAAACATTTTAAAATTAACGTACAGTGAAAATTCAGTCCATAAGCGCCTATAACATATACAAATTGAAAAATCAATTTCACATCTATTCATCGCTACTTTATAATAAGCGTGCACGGGCTCGTTTATTACTGGAAATGGGTCAAAAATACTGTTACGGAAATCGCAAATTACTTAGCTGGAATGAACGGATTTCCGTAACAATACTATCATCAATAAATATGTCAAATATGTCTAGCACGTCTGATTTGATTCAAATGAGGAATTTCCTCCGTTATCAACATGCTCTCTTAGTTTTTTTATTGCTATAAAGAATGTTTTTTTTTGGTTTCTCAAGTTGCTTACATAATTTCTGATATCCAAGTGTCGGTAAGACACTATCAAAATTAAAATTAGAAAAAAAAAAAACTGTTTTAATATTCGTGTTAAAACAAAAAGTTTGTGTAAAACGATAGGCAATTACGAGCTGAACTTCGCCTTCGACTGTTACTGTATACATGAGTTTCTATAAGGTACTGTCAAAACCAAAAAATTAAACTTTTTTTGGGATCCGCGCTATTTCAAAATCGTGTAAAAAAATATATTGGTGAACCGTGTTATTTCAAAATCGTGTAAAAAAAGTGTTGGATGTACTTATTTAAAATACCCTAAGAGAACGTAAGCTTAAGTCCTTTTCATTATACCTGAGACTGCGAAATCTTTTTTTGTAAAACGATATATTTTGAAAGAACTCGTTTGGATCACAGATCTTTCTCATCTGCACACTTCATAAAGGGTTATTAATAGTTTTTCAGTGGAATGCAGTGAACAGTGTAAGGTGCAGAATAAAAAACATTGTACTCACTGCATTTAACGAACAAATCTGTCAGTCTATATTAAAATAGCTTACAAAGCTACAAAAGGTAGAATATAGGCAGAACAGGCTTCCAATACTGTACTAGATTATCAAACCGTCTACTAACCGAAGGCATAACATTGAATTTAATTTAATCCCGAAGTTATTTAATCTTATTTGCTTTATGTCTAACTTAAAGCTATAACGAAAGGAACTTACTGCTTACATGATAAGCAGATTCTTCTTCACGTCTTAAAACAAATGCTTTAAGTGTTATATACACTGTGTATTAAATTTCTCAAATGTTTGCAAAAAGTAAGAATGTGCATCGACATATATATAAATCTAATAAATAATGGGGCAATCGTCTTTCACATGGCCATCTGCCATTATGTGTCCTTCGGTTTTTGGAAATCCCAAATCTGATCTCAAAATTGTAATAAAAAACGAAAATTGAAGTAAAATTCGAAAATCAGCGAAATCGGTAAGTGGACGAAGAAATTTTTCTTGTTTATCTTAGTAGTATTTTTAAAGCTGTGGAGCTTCCGAGTTCCAAGTCGGTTCCAAAATTTTTCTCTTCGTCTCATTACAAAAGCAACTTAATCGAATCAAGGGCCTGCTTATCGTTACCAAAACAAACTATAGAAGTAAGACACAGATAAAGATGACACGATCGGTATATCAAATAAATGAAACTCCTTTCGATCTTGCGATCAAATAACGTTATTCACCTAGTTATGACACGATAGTACGCATGACACGATTCGTCCACAGCCGAATATAACAATTTTCTTCTTTTTATTTTCTAATAAATTTGTTGTAGAAAATTTATTTTACCTCTAATCTGCAATTTCTTCACGTTATGCTCATCGAAACCTATACATTTTCCCTTTTAAAGTGCTGCTTGGTTCTTGCCCCTCAGTTGTTTCTTACTCTTTTTCTATTTTGCTTTTGACAATATTTATTGCATACATTTCAAAAGGCAATATAACAATACCTTGAAGCTTTATTTGTTTTTACTGGTCAAATAGTTCTCTTTTCTCTTTGTTTCTTAGTTTTTTTTTTTTAGTGAAATTGCTTTATTTACAAAGGTAACGAATACATCGTATGCGGGGGTTTCGATTATGTATACTATACCTACATAAGCGGTAAGTTTTCTTACTTCTTTTCGTATCTATTATCGTGGAGTATATAAGATTTGTCACTCTTTTTGGACTAAGGGAATAGTCATTAAAAATTGATTTGTTCTCTATATGTTCTCGGTTATCGCGAACACTTGACTTTTAAATCATTTAGGCATTTTGCTTGTTTGCATTCTATAAATCTCTATGGAATTGTGATTTAAACTTTTCCTCAGAGCCATAATCGGTTAAGCGTAACAATCAGCTATATATCTATCCTCTGGGATCGCCAGGAATATCTCCACTTTTCTTATTATGTCTCTTTATTGACTTTTATTAAGCATATTATGTTAGGTGTCCTCGTTGGTGTTTACGTTTCCACAGCAAGTTATGCTTACCGAATTTTAAAATAACTAAAAGTGAGAGGGATTTTTTCGATATTGTTGTTCAAACCCTGTTAAAGGGATTTAAAGGTATTTTCATACAAAGAAAAATCAAAATACTTGAGAAATCAAAAGAGGTAAATATATCGTATCTGGTAGTTCCGGCAGTATTCAAGCGTAAGTGATAAGTATCAAAAATGTCGTTCCAAGTCGAAAGTCTTTCATTTTGTTTGTTTTTTTTTTTTCTTTTCGTTTCTCAACACTTCACAAAAGATAATAAACGAAATTCAACTGGCTAAGTAAACATGGCAATACAACCATCTGTGCTAATGTGTGTGAGTGATTTCGTTTATTTTGCATTATAAAACGGTACCTATAAGTGGCGACTGCAGCCGGGTTTTGAGACATATGTGGGCAATGGTAAGCTGGTTAAAACAATATCAAAATAGTCAATACAGCTTACAGCATACTGCTGTCTTCTATGCGGTTATCAGAAATACACACAAGGCTTGTCATATACACCAACACAAATATATATATGCTTTTACTATTAACACACCTTAAGTTAGGTTTAGTTGACAATTTATCTTTACTGGTTTCATTTTACGCTTCTCTATTGTTGTTGTCTTCTTGAAAATTGAAAATTTCCAACCACCCATTTCCATTTCCAGCAAGTGATGAGAAATTTCTTTATATGATTAAGCAATAAATTATGACAAGATTTACTCCTTTTGCATCATAAGGAAAATAAAGTTTACAGTAAAGCCTTAAATTAAGAGAACACAATGAAATTTAAAAAGATGGCGGGATGAAGGCGTTTACCCGATGAGAATGAGACATTTAAAATAAAAGCATTTCTTTAAGTGACCGTGTGACGGTGTATGCGAAGAAACGTTCACTCTAGATTTCTTTAGTTTGTTGTCTTTAAAAGCAAAGACATATTGTATCCGATCGAAGCCTAATCTTTTGAAAAGAGAATTCGGGGTGAAATACATTTTTATATAATAACTTCACATCGAGATAAAATACGCCATATTTGGACTCAGCAAGTCTATTTTTACCCTCTCACGTTCCATATATAGTAACTTCACATTGAGATGAAATACCCGATATTTGGACTCAGCAAGTCTATTTTTAGCATTCCACCTTCTATAAAGATGCTTGAAAATTAAAGCACTCTGTGGCAATAGTCCAAGTTTTGCGTACTTTACGACGAACAATGATGAGGCCTTTAGAAAGAACACTCATTTTACTAAATGTAGGACGCGTTTTGAGCGCGTCTTCTGCAAGCGCTGCTAGAAGAAGTTGAATACGAAATATGGTTGTTGGTATTTTGTCATCAAGGTGAATGAAC